CACCCACGTCCATATATAGACTAAGTTATGGATGTTTCTACATACATATTTGTATGTGCTGCATGTATATTCATATATACAATAGAGTGAACAGGGAGCACAGTTAGGGAAACTTCTTAGACATAACCAAACACTTTGTGGAACTGAGTTGAGGGCTGGAGACCATAGTCTCTGGGGACATCTTGAGCAATTGACATAATGTAGCTCATAAAGTCAGTGTTCTACATCCTGCTCTGGTGAGCAGTGTCTGGGGTCTTAAAAGCTTGTGAGTGGCCATCCAAGATACAACTATTTGTCTTTTCCCATCTGGAGCAAAGGAGAATGAAGAAAATCAAAAATTAAAGGAAGCAATTAGTCCAGAGGACTAATGGCCCACATGAACCACAGCCTCCACTAGCCTGAGACCAGAACAACTAGATGGTGCCAGGCTGCCACTACTGACCGCTCTGACCGGGATCACAGTAGAGGGTCCCAGAAAGAGTAGGAGAAAAATGTAGAACAAAATTCAAATTCATAAAAAAGACCAAACTTACTGGTCTGATAGAGACTGGAGGTACCCCTGAGACTATGGCCCTTAGTCACTGTGATGGTGAAGATCGTGTGTCATCTTGGCTGGGCCATGATTCTCAGTGGTTTGGCAGTTGTGATGTAGGTTGGCAGCTTTGTAATGATGTAATCACCTCCATAATGAAATCCGATACAATGTAATCACCTCCATAATGAGATCTACTGTGAGCAGCCAGTCTGTTGAAAGGGAGTTTCCTTGGGGATGTGGCCTGCATCCATCCAATATATGTGGACTTTCTCGCAAAGCTCGCTGGTTTGCTTGCTTTGGATCCTCATCTGACCTCCAGTTCTTGAGACTTGAGCTACAAGCTTACTTGCTTATCTTGGGATTCATCAGCTCCACATACTTTGGACATGTTATCTGGAGGGATCAGTCTCTGGAGAAGGACATCATGCTTGGTAAAGTAGAGGGTCAGCGAAAAAGAGGAAGACTCTCAACAAGATGGATTGACACAGTGGCTGTAACAGTGGGCTCAAGCATGGCAATGATTGTGAGGATGGCACAGGACGAAGAGCAGTGTTTCATTCTGTTGCACATAGGGTCGCTATGAGTGGGAACTGACTCCACAGCACCTAACAACAACAAGGAAGGATTTACTTCCCACCATTTAGCTGTTCGTTTTCTGTATGTCTTATATGTTTTTTGTTCTTTGATTTGTCCATTAGTGCCTTTTATGTATTAAGTTGAATTTTAATAAAATAACTAAAACATATATAGAAAAGGTTACCTTAAGGATTATAAAGTAACATCTTAAATTTATGACAGCCTGAGTTGAATAATACCAACTTAGTTACAATGGTATAAAAACACTCTCCCCCATACCTTTCCATCCTTCCCCCTTTATGTTGTTACTGTCACTGTTGCATCTTTATACACTGTATGCCCATTAACATAGATTTATAATTATTATTTTATGCATTTGCCTTTTAAATCCTACAGGAAATGAAGAGAAGTTACAAACCAAAGGTACAATACTAGCTTTTATATTTACCTATGTAGTTAACCTTTACCAGAGTTTTTTATTTCTTCTTATGGCTTCAAGTTACTATCTAGTGCCTTCATTTCACCCAGAAGGATTTCCTTTAGCATTTCTTGTGGGCAGATCTGCTGGCACTAAACTCCCTCAGCATTTGTTAATCGGGAAATGTTTTCATTTCTTCTTCATTCTTGAAGGATAGTTTCACAGATACAGAATTGGGGTTTGACTGACAGTTTTTTCCATTCAGAACTTGAAATATGTCATCCCACTTCTCTCTGGCCTTCATAGTTTGTGATGAGAAATTAGCTAAGAATCTTATTGAAGATCCCTTGTACATGATGAGTCACTTTTCTTTTGCTGTGTTCAGAATTCTCTTTATTCTTAGGTTTTGACAATTGAACTATAATGTCTTGATGTGAGTTGCTTTGAGTTTATCCTACTTGGAGTTCATTGAGCTTTTCAGATGAGTAGATTGGTGTCTTTTATCAGATTTTAGCTTTGGGCCATTATTTCTTCAATTATTTTTTTCTGCCTCTTTACCCTTCTCCTTCTGGAACGCCTGTGATGTGTGTTAGTATGCTTGATGGTGTCCCATAGGCCCTTCAGGCTCTGTTCAGTTTTTTCTTTTTTTTTTGTATTCTTTTTTCTTTCTGCTCCTCAAACTGGATAGTTTCATTTGTCTTATTTTAAAGTTCACTGATCCTTTCCTGCCTGGTCTATTCTTCTATTAAACTCCTCTGGTAAATTCTTCATTTCAGTTATTATACTTTTGAGCACCAGAATTTCTGTTTAGTTGCTTTTTATAATTTTTGTCTCTTTATTAATATTCTTGGCTTTTTTCATGCATCATTTTCCTGATTTCCTTTAGTTCTTTTCCATGGTTTCCTTTGGCTCATTGAGCATATTTAAGACATTTGATTTAACATCTTTTACTAATAATTCCAATATCTGGGCTTCCTCAGAGATGGTTTCTTTCCAATTCTTTTTTTCCTGAGAATGGGCTATGCTTTCCTGTTACTTTGTATGTTTTGTAATTTTTGTTGAAAATTAAGATATTCTGAGTATTACAGTGTGGTAGCTCTGAGAATATGATTCTCCACTCTTTAAGGGATAACACTGTTACTTGAGGAAAGCTGTAGTCGTCTGTTGAGTGACTTTTCCAAACTATTTTTGCAAAGTAAATCTTTCAATTGTGTAGGGTCACACAATTAAAGTTTCTGTTCTATTATTTCTGCAGTCAGCCAGTGATCTGACATAGATTTCACCAAAAAGGCAAGGTGGAAGGAGGGAGAGAAAGGGTATAACAGCTCTCTAAGTCACTGCTTCTAAGAGGGCCAAACCTCAGCCAGCGCTGCACCTGTCCCTCAGGGCTCCACCAGATCAACCAAAGTGTATAACCCCAGATCCTTGGATGACAAGGTCCCCACTGTCCACCCTGGGAACACGGGCCACTGTCCCCACTGCCACAGCAGGACTGAGATGAGGTCTTCACTTAGAGTGCAGAATTTAGACTATTGGTGTTGTGTTTTCAGTGTCATCACGTCGTACTTTTATTGAGAAGATGCTCTTGACTCAGCTGTATTCTTTTTGCCCTGAATGAGCACCTGGTCTCAAGAAAAAGACAGGCCTTATGAACTTAACCCTTTGCCCTCAAGTCGATTCTGACTCATAGTGACCCTATAAGACAAAGTGGAACTGCCCCATAGGGTTTCCAAGGAGTGGCTGGTGAGTCTGAACTGCCGACCTTTTGGTTAGCCGCTGAGCTCTTAACCACTGTGCCACTTAGTTATCAGAAGTAGGTAAAATGCCCTAATAAGGGTCTGACTTTGGAAGTCTTAACTCAGTGAAATCTTGACTTGTTAGCCTATGATCACTATAAATTATTTTTCTTTTCCATATTGGACCAATAATATAAACAAGGCTTACAAAATTTCTAAGAGGGCTAGTATCATTGCAAATGCTGGGTTTGGAAGTGAAGAAATGAATTCTGTAGCCTCACAGAAGCACAGTAACTTACAACTGTATGATGAGAGGAGAAAATTTTTAATAAAAGTGTAGTTCATCAGAATTACATTGTTTTGCTTGGTAGCTAATTGTTTTCTTTCAAAATGAATTGTTTACTACTCATGTCTTTCTGAACTGATAAACTCTTCCATGTATTCAGCAAGCATTTTCTGAGCACTTACTGTATGTCAAGATGTAGCTAGTATTAGGACTTATCTGTGTTAGGTGCAAACTCCTGCACCACTGCTCAGGGATCAGCACCCCAAGTGCCCCCTCAGCCTGTATGCTCTGTGTGAGTTTTACATGGACTAAATATTTCAGCATTTGCTTTGGACCAGACTAACTTCACTGGAAGATTTCAGAAAACATCATAATGCGGTCATTTTACTGTGAGGACCTTTGAATAGTGTCATTTTTTCGTAGCTTGTCTCCTTGTTAGCTACATAAAATTGAATAAAAAGTACTATGTCCATGATCTATGGGATGTGAAGGACTACATACTGCTGAAAGTATTGGCTTATTTATGAGATGAAAAGGGAAAGCCAATCCTGGAGGGTTGTTGTGGCACAGCAGAGGGAGCACAGACCCTGGGAGTGAGGCAGACCTGGGTGTGAGGACCTCTTCTGCCATCTGCTAGCTCTGGGCTCCTCGGCAAGCTGTTTAATCTTCCCCAAGCCTCAAGATGTCTGTAAGGGGGCAGTTGTTAACGCTCCTTATTTTCACAAAAATATATTTTATTTGCTAAAACATAAATCTGAACCCTGTCGGAGATTAATTAAAATTCTTACCCCACTTTTTCCTTTGCTCTCTGTGAAATTAAATTTTAAAATCACATGCTTAAATTGCCTCTAAGCATTTGGAGTATTGACAAGCCTTCCTAGTTATTTTCACTCTGTCAAATTTCGGGATGCAGGGGCTTGTTATTTATTAAATTCTACATAGGATTCTACAAAGGAATTTGAAAGAAATATATATACCACATTTACCAACTTTGAAGCAAAGCATTTTGTGCATTTAGAACTTTCAGTCAAAAGTTTTTCCTTAGATCCCAGATTAATTTACAAATGTTCTCATTTATACTTTGTCATCTACTTCATTGCAATGAATATTTCTGTTTTGTTCTCCAGGAACCTAAAAATGAAGAATTGCTCTTCCTGAACGGTTTCTATGGTTTCTGAACGAAGTAAAGAACTTACATTAACTAAGCACCTTCTCTGTGCTAGGAGCTTTAACAGACCTTGTGAGGCAGGGGGAGGAACTTCACAGAGGGGAAATTGAGGCTTAGGGAAATCAGTCAGTATCTTAACCCAAATGCACCACTTGGCAGTGCTGAACTAGGGTGGAATCCCAAGTCCATGTCTCCAGATCCTGAGCCTTTCCATTCTATACAGCAGCCTAAAGATCAGCCATTCTTTCTTCCTTTCTTTCGCTGTTGTCTTTATTTTTCAGAAAGAACTAAATTCCCGAGATGGAGCTTGGGAAAAAATATGTGGTGAACGGGATCCTTTCATCCTATGCAGTTTGATGTGGTCTTGGGTGGAACAACTGAAGGAACCTGTAATAACCAAAGAGGACGTGGACATGTTGGTTGACAGGAACGCAGATGCCGCTGAAGCGCTGTTTTTATTAGAGAAGGTAAAGTAGTTGTTGTACTAGTTAATGAATTTAACTGAGGCCCTCTATAAAGTTTCACACGTTAAAAAAAATATAAAAAGGGGATTCATACAGAACCCCATATCCAGGTCTAATGTAATAGTTTTCCCAAGAAAAATGAAGAAATGCATACTCAGTATAGACACTTAGAAAATACAAAAGTAAAAAGGAGAAATATCTATAATCCTACCACCCAGCAGAATCACTTTAAAATACAATTTTATACTTAATTTTTGCTTGAAATTATAACATATTTTTACATGTATAGTATGAGCTTTTCATAAATATTAACTTTAATGTGTGTGTAATGCCTCCATGATGGGGATATGCCATAATTAACCATTTTTCAATTTTTAGATATTTGTTTCTACTTGTTTACTGTAAGCATATAAATATGGTAAACTGTGAGATAGGCTGGAATATGTATGCACTTATTTGTATTTTTTAAAAAGGATTGTGTGTGTATATGTACACATGTATACATATGTGTATACAATTTGTGTATTTATAGAATATCTCTAGAAGGAAAAATAAACTGGTGGTTGCCTTGAGGGAAGGGTAGCGAATTTTGTGTTTTTATATAGAAATATTAAATTTTCAGTTAAAAATTGGCTTTTTGTTTGAGAAAACAGTGTTACCTGATAATCAGCCTTGAGTTACCTACTGTGCGCTGCTTCAGCGTCAGCATCACCTCCTCATTGTCTCCAATGTTCACTGAAAACCTGAACCCCCAGCACACACACACACACACAAATGACCTTTTCTGTATCTTGAGTCCTTTTCTTAGTGTATGTTCTCGGCAATTAAATACAGAGATAAACAGGCGGATGATAGGAGGAAATTAACCTTTGTTGTGTGACTATGGGCAGAGTTAGAGGGTGTTATCCTAATTTACCAAAAGGGAAGGTGAGTGACTTGCCCAGGTACACAGCATGTGCCAGAGCTAGGTTCAAACCCAATTGCACCGGCACAAAGCTAATGCACTCCCATTCCCATCATGCTGTCGGCTTTAACGTAATTCACTCTACATCTCCCCACCCCCCCATGCATAGGGCATATACTTTTATGGGTATCATTGTAATGATAATTTGTGCACTCAGGTTTTTCTATATTTCAGATTATGCCTTAAGGTGAAATTACTGGGTCAAAGGGTATGAATTTTTTTCCTGAGGCCTTTGATATGTATTGCTCACGGTGATGGATTTCTCCTTTGTTTCTCTAAGGTGAACCAGCCCCCTGGGAGTCAAGTCTGCGTCCTTGTTCTTAAGGGTTTTCCCCCTTGACACAGAGTGCATGCTTCTGGAGGGCTGGGATTGTTTCTCTTCTTCTACCCCACCTCCCTGCACAGCATCTGGAATGGGGCTCGCACAGTTACTGACTACTCAGTGCCCCACTGACATGTCCATGTGTCACCATGACATGTCAGCCTCAAATGGCCTAACTGAATGATTACATCCAGACACAACAGAATGAAAAAATCTATTCCATTCGCAACAAAAACACTTACTGGAAAATTGTGCTGCTCTTCAGATTCATTTGTATTTCTGTTTAATTACTAACCAGCTTTGATTTGGATTATCTCCTGCAAGCTTTTCAAATTATATTAACACATAACAGTAAACATTTAGTAGAGCTCTTGGTAGATATTTTAACATTTAAGATTATGAGTATTTAGTCTCAAACTGATTTCTGGCTCTGCAATTGCTTTAAGTTTATTTCCTGAGGCATTTTTCAAACAATTTGTTTGATTTTGATTTCTGCAAAACAGGGACAGCACCAGACGATTCTTTGTGTTTTACATTGCATAGTGAATCTGCAGACAATTCCTGTGGATGTGGAGGAAGCTTTCTTGGCCCATGCCATTAAAGCTTTCACTAAGGTGAGTAGCGCTCTTCGTTTCCCCTTCCAGATTCCAGAGGCCAGCAGTCTCTAAAATAAGTGTTAGTTGTAGTAGCACAATGGCTAAGCACTCCACTGATAACCGAAAAGTTGGCGGTTGGAACCCACCCAGCAGCTCCACGGGAGAAAGAAAAATCAACAGCCCACAAACCCCTATGGGACAGTTCTACTCTGTCACCTGAGGGTTGCTGTGAGTCAAAATTGACAACATGTTTCTGTAATGGAAATGTATTGACATTTATTGAAAGTAGTTGCAGAGTTTTGGCCAAAACATATCACTGTTTCCTATTAGGAAAAACCGAAGTGTAGGTTTTTTGAAGGAGAATGTTGGAACAAAGAGCTTTTATTTAGAAGAAGAGGGAAGCAATTGGGTGTTGAGAAAGTGTTTTTAAATCATGTGCCTATTAGGAGCCAGAGAATCTTTTCTTGTTGAGCCAGTTCTACCTTGAGTTTAAACAAGAAACCATCTATTGAGAATTTAACATTCAACATTGACTGTTTGATTCTGTGTCCTGGTTGGCAAGTCCTAAGCAAAGAATAAAAAATACTTCCTTTTCATGAATATCCTTTTGCCTTGTAGGAATCTTCCCTGGCTAAAGAGAGAAGCCAGGTTCATGTCAAAATAAAAAGTTCCCCTCAACCCCTCAGCTAATTTGTTTGGTAACTCTCATATGTGAAATGAAAATGTCTTTGTTAAAGAAAGAACCCAGCTTTTGAATAACAGTGTCTGTGGCAAATATTAATGATAATAGCAATTATTATTTGTACTCATTCACAAGTTCTGAAGTTTTATTATTTTTCCAATCTCCTTCCCCCTCCACTCCCAAAGTGATATCCTTATTTCAGGCTCTTGTTTCTCTCCCGAATTTTTTTTTATTGCACTTTTAAAAATGAAACAGAATTTCTATAAATTAAAAGAAGAGTTTTATTCAGATTCAAAGATTTGCAAATCAGGAAGTGCCAAAATGAAAGTTCAAAATTGTGTTCCAAGGAAGGAGCATAAGCGAAAGTCTTTTATACACAACTGTGCAGAAACTTTGTAGAGTTGGGAAGACTGTGGCGTACATTGGTTGATATCCAACATTCTTCCATAAGACTCATTTACCAAGAATTTCTGTTGGCTGGGGTACTCAGCCTTAGCCACAATTTCCCACGTTCTAGAGCTGGTTCCTTCTGTTTCCTGCAACATTCTGAGTGGACCACCTCAGAATGTTGCAGAACAAATTATCTTGGTCAAGAGTGTGGTCATGGGCACATACTCTAAAAAGCAGCAGCAGGGGCCTAGGACAAAATGGAGTCTGATTCAGACCTGTGTCAGCCATTTTAGTTATGTCAAGTACCTCAGTTTTAGAGTGCTCTTTCACAGCACAAGCCATTCTCCATTCTTTACAGTTTCCACAGTGACTTGCCTAATACACAAGTCATATAATCCAGAAATTTATATTTACATTTTCATAGACTGAGAGGCTATCTGTTGTGTGAGGAAGGTTGTATTTTAGTGTTTAAGAAAGTAAACAATTAAAACTTATTAATGAGTTTTTACAAATAGGATAGATAGTAGTTAAGATAAAATTAAATTTCTGAGTTAACTATAACTAAAAAAAACCTTAATATTGGTTTCACTGAAAGTGGTAGGAATTCTTTACAACTTCTGTTTGCCTCTTAAGGGGATATTAGTGAAAGATTAGAGATACCAGTTGTTTTAAATTTATCTACAGGAATATTAGGAGATATTTCTGTGTTGATCTCTCACATTTCTGCATAGTCTTCTGAGCAGAGACATTGATACCAGACTAGCTCTTCAAGGATGTTTGTGTAGTGTCTATCTCCAGGGCAGAGGACAGATGTGTTTGCTATCCAATATAATAAAGATAATGTTTCCCTTTGGGGCAGAGATTGGGCAGATGTGCTTGCAACCCCCTTATGAAAAATTGAGGTTCCTCAGCTGTGATGCAGGTCACCCCCATTGGACTTGGAGGGCAAGGGGGGATGTGAAGTGGACATGAATCTCGTGCTACCTGCTGCACCATGAGTAATGAAGTCATTTGTCTCTGACCCAGAAGTCTCGTGTCTTCTTCCAGCACCCATGAAACTGTGGCAGGCTAAGTTGTTAGCTTGCAAGTGGGGTAAATCTCAGCTCCTTCAAAGTTCTTGACAAAGTTATAACAACCTTCTCTTTGTCAAGATTTATTGGAGAAGGAAAGATTCTAGGAGGGGAGAAGCACTAACCAAGTGATCCCAGTTCTTTCTCAGTGGAGTCACATATTACTCGGGGAATGGGGTTGGGGAGAGTTGTGGTAATTGCTCTGGTTCTCTGTTCCACCATCACTTCTAACCCCAAAGTATGGTAAGCTTTGGGGAAGAATCCAAATATATGTACATGATACCTTCCCACCAAGGAGAATGGAAGCTAACTTTTGTTGAGTTTTTTGTATGTGTCAAGCATACATCAGACTCTCATGCCTGATTTCATTTGTTACTCACAAAAGTCCTAAGGAGAGGGGATGGGTTTTATTATCTCTGTTTTACAGAGGAGGAAATTAAGGTCCAGAGAGTTTAGTTGGCATGAGGCTACATAGCTGACAAGTGGTAAGCCCAGGCTTCCCACTTGATCGCTGTGACCCTGTTGCCCAGAGTGGCCTTAAGGGTCTCTTCTGAGTGCAAAACTTAAAGTTGATGTGCATTGTTTTAATGAGGGAGACTTTTCTACCACCAATAATTAAAATTCAGTCTCTGAATTAAAAACTGACTTCACACTCACTTGTCACTTGCTCTCATGACTAGGTGTATGTGAGTATGCTAAATATCCAGGCACTAGATTGATTTTTGAGTTTTCACTCATAAGTTTGGTATCAGCATGGTTAGCTGTTTTAATATAGTCTTCTGTATATTTATAAAAAATATAATTTTATTTATTAGTCTCAGTCTTTTTTCTCCACTTATCTCTCTTCTCCCAAAATAGAGACTGGGTAAAATTCTTGTTACAATGTCCTAAAAATAGATTTTCTTTGTCACCAGGTTAATTTCGATTCTGAAAACGGACCAGTAGTTTACAACACCCTAAAGAAAATATTTAAACACGCACTGGAAGAGAAAAGAAAAATGACAAAAGATGGCCCAAAGCCTGATGTTTAGTCAAGTTGACTTCCCCCACGTGATGTGTTTTTCCGACCTGAAGATGCAGATAACACTTCTGTTCACGTGTGATTAAGTTGAAGTTTGTAGAGCTACATTTTCTCATAGCACTTTACTTACAGTATTATTCGTTTATGTTGCAAATGATCTTTCCTGTTTGGAGCTGTTATTTATTTTAAAATATCCTTGAGCTACATTTTTGTGTTAAAAATTGCCATAAAGTTGTTGCCACTTTATTTATTTAACTGAAATAATTTTGTTGTATTAACATTTTAAGTATGTGGTGTTTACATCCTTATTCTTTTTGACATTTTGGAAAAAGTTGTAACTCTTCTTTCCAAAACAATTATTTTGTTGACAAAACTCTTCCTAAAGTTGTTACCAAATAGATCATTGTAATTGTGAAACTTCACTGTGTATCCATTCCCCTTTGAAACATTACCTAAGTCACCAAGTGTCTTAAAAATGTTTTATATTTGTTACTAACTAAGATTGTTTTTACAACATTTTTAGAGGATTTTTAAAAATTTGGAAGTTTTTGGTTGTTTTCTTTTATAAATCTGGTGAAAGGTTTCAAAGTGTATTATTTTTCAAGGTAATTGAATTTTATGTTAAGGATTGAATGTGGAATGGTTGGGGTTTTCTTTTTACCTGTAGAAAGTAGATCTGCTCTCTTTGTCAGGATTCCAGACAACCTCTCTAACCTTTGTTAGTGCAAGAAGGCAAGAACAGTTCTCAAGACATTAGCCTTATTCCCACTCCACAGAGTTGCTGCTTAGCCAAATCGCCATCTTTACAGAGGAGGTAGGGCCAGAGACAGTGTGGGCAGCTGCTAAGAAGCAGGACTCGCCTTTGTTCTCCCAGTGATTGCACAGAAAGCAGAGCTGTGACTGAGGACGGCCTCACATGGGAGGCTGGTGCCTGCCCTGCTCTCTCTGGGGTGCTGCAGCCACTGTTGAAGCTACAGGAATTCAGGGCTGGGCCACTGTTCATGCTAGCGTGTATTTGCCTAAGCAGCCCAGCCCTGGCCCCACACCTCCCAAATCTGATATTTCATAGACCCACTTGCCTCAGGGCCCTAACTTTGGCTGAATTTTTGCTATGAGAATTGAAGATTTTTAAATTGAATCCAACGCATGGAGGTTATATTCATGCTACTGGCATTAGATAACAAGGGGTGACCACCTAAACTAGGTCCTTACACACCAAACAATCAACAACCAAAGCCATAACTATTATTTAAATGAATGTCTGGAGGTACCAGAGGTCAAGCCACATCAAAAATATTTTAGTCATTATCCCATCTTACTAATTCTGATGACAAATGCTAAATGCAGTTTTTCACACACTGCTTGAATTTTCTGATAAAATCTAATCCAATGAATTTTAATGAGCTGGATTGCCCATTCCTGAAATCTCTCATTTTCAAGTGCCTGATCTGGGAAAGAAGGGGAGAAAACAATTACATTTTACCCAAAGGTATATTATAAAGATACATTTTTACCCCCCACCCCCACCCACAAAAAAAAATGCTAGTCCTAATCTCAGTAAGTTCTGTGTGGCAGGTGACAACCGTGGCTTTTGACAAACTGATTATTTGCTTGTGCATCTGAAACACTCATTTCAAATTAAAGAACAAACACTACATAGTCATGATGTGATTTTAGAAGTGCACATCTAAAAATCTAACTTAACCAGCCATGAAATAGAGATAAGACTGGGGAAATATAGATAAGACATAAGGCCATATATAAGTATTGTATTTATTTGAATAAAAGTGAAAAGAACAACTCATAACCCTTGTCTTCTACTTCTTTAACTTGGTGATCTTGAGCATAATGTGTGTCTTGATGATAAAGATGAAATTCTACTATTAAATTATCCTGATAGGCAAATTGAACTTTAGGCTAAATAGTCAGCTAGTAAGTTCAGAATGTCTAAGGATAGGGGGACCAGGATAGGAGAGTTCCTAGGCAGATGGATGAGGAAAATCTTGAGGCTGACAAGATTCTTACCTTCCTATATTTGAATGGGTAAGAAGTTAGATCTGAGTTCTTTGTGGCCCTAAAAGATAAAATCTCACCTATTACAAGATATTACAGAGTTGCAAAATTCAGCTCAGCCTTAGTGGGGGAAGAGCAAGAGCACATACACATTAAGAACTTGCTACCAATCCTGATCAAAAGGGGGAAAATGCAAAACAGAATTTCAAAATTTCATGGACACCAGACTTCTATGGTCAACTGATTTTTGAAAAGGATGTTAAGCCCATTCAGTAGGGAAAAAAGTCTCATCAATAAATGGTGTTGGGAAAATTGGGTTTCCACATGCAGAAAAATGAAACAGGATACATGCCTCACACCACACACAAAATGCATGAAAGACCTAAATGTAGAAAGTAAAACCATAAAATTCTCAGAAGAAAGTGCAGGGGCAATGCTGTCAGGCCTGGCTTTTAACAGTGGAATATCTAATATAACAAAAGCATGAACAGCAGAAGACAAATAAATGGGACCTCATGAAAATTCTTTTGTTCATCAAAAAACTATCAAAAAAAGTAAAAAGCTACCAACTGGGAGAATATCTTTGGAAACCACATATCTGATAAGAATATTAAAAAAAAATACAAAACTTTGACAACTTAAAAAAGACAAATAATGCAATCATAAAATGGGCAAAGGGCTTGGATAAACATTTCACCAAAGAGGGCATTCGAATTGCCACCAAAGACATGAAAGCATGTTCAATGTCATTAGCCTTCAGAGAGATGCAAATGAAAACCACAATGAGATACCATTTCACTCCCACTAGGATGGCTAAGATTAAAACAAAAAAAAAGGTTGGCTAGGATATAGGGAAACTGGAATGCTTATCCATTCCTGGTGGGAATGCAAAATGGTACAGCTGTTATGGAAAGCAGTGTGGCAGTTCCTCAAAAAGCTAAAATTCTAGCAATTCCACTCCTAGGTATATACCCAGAAGACTTGAAAGCAGAGACTTGTACACCAATGTTCATTGCAGCACTATTCACAATAACCAAAAGATGAACCTAAATGCCCATCAACAGATGAATGGATAAACAAAATGTGGTACATATATACAATGGAATACTTCTAAGCCTGTAGAAGAAACGAAGTCTTGATACATGCTACAATATGGATGGAGTTTGAAGACATTATGCTGAGTGAAATAAGTCAATCACAAAAGGACAAATATTGTATGACCTCACTTATATAAAAACTCAAGAACAGGCAAATGTATAGAGACCAAAGTTTATTAGAGGTTACCAGGGGTGGGAAAGAGAAGGAATTGGGAGGGGGGGAAGTATTGCTTATGGAGTACTGAGTTTTGGTTTATGGTGATGGAAAAATTGTATTGATTAAGGGTAGGGTTGCACAGCTGATTATTGTAATTGCTGTCAATAAGTTGTACACCTGTAAAAAGTTGAACTGGCAGAAGTTGTGTGATATATTTACAACAATAACCAAAAAAACCAAACACCTCATGGGATTTTGTTCCTTGGTTTGGAGTAATGTCAGGGTTTCATGGGACATCCCAGACAATTGTCATATTAATGTGTTTAGAGCTTTTGTTTTACCTCCTAGTTCGCTGCAGGGTGTCTGGGGTCTTAAAAGCTTACAAGTGGCCATTCAGAGTACAGCAGTTGGTCTGTATTCACCTGGAGCAACAGAGGAAGAAGGAGAGTCAGAAATAGGTGGAGGAAATGGATTGTGTGGCTAATTGCTTCCATAAGCAACTGGCTCCTTTGCCATGAGATCAGAAGAACTGAATGGTGCCCAGATAACATTACTGAACATTTGGATCAAAGATTCTATAGAAGAATCCCGATCAGAAGGTAGAAAACTCAAAACAGAATTTTCTCATGGACCCCAGACTTTCTGGAGCCATGGCGACTCGATGAACCCCTGAAACTATTGCCTTGAGATAACCCCATGTCTGTGAGTTTATTGTACTGTTGTGACTTGCTTGTTGCCGTGATACTGGAAGCTTTGCCACCGGTATTTCAAATACCAGCAGGATCACCCTTGGTGAACAGGTTTCAGCTGAGTTTCCAGACTAAGACAGACTAGGAAGAAGGACGTGGCAGTCTACTTCTGAAAAAATTGTCTAGGGAAAACCTTATGAATAGCAGTGGAACATTGTCTGATATAATGCCGGAAGATGAGCCCCTCAGGTTGGAAAGCATTCAAAATACGACTGGGGAAGAGTTGCTTCCTCAAAGTAGAGCAGACTTTAATGACGTGGATGGAGTCAAGCTTTTGGGACCTTCATTTGCTGATGTGGCACAACACAAAATGAGAAGAAACAGCTGCAAATATCCATTAATATTAGGAACGTGGACTGTGCAAAGTATGAATCTAGAAAATTGGAAGTCATCAGAAATGAGATGGAACACATAAAGATCAATATCCTAGGCATTAGTGTGCTGAAATGGACTGGTATTGGCCATTTTGAATCAGACAATTTTATGGTCGTCTATGCCAGGAATGATAAATTGAAGAGGAACGACGTTACGTTCATCATCAAAAAGAACATTTCAAGATCTCTCCTGAAATACAGTGCTGTCAGAGATAGGATAATATCCATACGCCTACAAGGAAGACCAGTTAATAAGACTATTATTCAAATTTACGCACCAACCACTAAGGCCAAAGATGAAGAAACAGAAGATTTTTACTAACTCCTGCAGTCTGAAATTGATCAAACATGTAATCAAGATGCATTGATAGTTACTGACAATTGGAATGTCAAAGTTAGAAACGAAGAAGGATTGGTAGATGGAAGATACGGCCTTGATGATAGAAATGACACCGGAGAACACATGATAGAATTTTGCAAGACCAGTGACGTCTTCATTTACAACTATACACCTCGCCAGATGAAATACACAGATATCAAATGGACTACATCTGTGGAAAGAAACAATGGAAAAGCTCAATATCATCAGTTAGAACAAGGCCAGGGGCCAATTGTGGAAG